CTATGGACCAGAGTGGTGTTGGCTCCTCTCTCTGACTGAGAGGAAGGAGGTTACATTAGCAGCTTTCTCAGTGATTCAGGGTCTGACTGTTTTCCTTTTATCAATTTGGGCATCATAGCACAGAGCACAAATTGAACTTCATTTCCCTCTTTGATATAGCATAACAAATAGCAATGAACAACTTTCTTTGCCTGGAGTGGGGGACTGCAAGTTGTCAGTCAGCTTCAGAGCACTCAACTCCAGGCTGTGTCTGCTGATGTGGAAAGGAAGGAAATGCAAGCTTGTGCCTGGAGCTGCTTTTGGCATGATATATTCCAAATTTGCTGGCTTTATAATTTTTACCACCTTAATGTTTTCTTCTAAGGAATTTAAAGTGTTTTGTAAACACTAATGACAACGCTTTCTTAATGTAGGGAATAATAACCATCTCCAATTTACTGATGTGGACACTGAGGTATAGGGGTCTAGTCAAAGTCCAAGAAATACAACCTATAGGCTCTACCTCCCAGGCCCCAGGTATTATGTCATGTTCCATCTTATTCTCCAAAAGTCATTCTTGGTCTTAGCACTTAAATGGAGTTGACACAAGGTAGATGTGGTCTCTGACTCAGAAATTATTTTTTATGATAGTGAACTAAAAAGTCCTCCCCTCCCTCTTTAGTTATTTAAGAAGTGGCTTAAGAGTGGCCAAAAATAGAATAATTGAATATTTCCATAAAATCCTGAAAAAAAAAATCTTAATTTTGTGATTGGGAAGCTAGCTGCATAATACTTGTTGAGTAGCAATGCTCTGAAAATGCAGCTTGAAAGTAAGGGAATTTAAAAGTGAATTTGGCAGAAACTGTGCCACTCGGAAGTTTTCAAACCCACCAGATGTTAACCTGCCCTGTGCCCTTTGCACTTACTCAGTTGTGCAAGATGCATCTCTGTGTGTCTTTGGAGCTGGTTGTGTGGACTGGGGAGACATTCCCAAGTTGCAGTGAGTCAGCGGGCCTAATGTGATGCCATTGGACTTATCACTTGACATATCTCCACACCATGGAGGTGTTTTAAGTGGAGGCTTCCTAAAGGACTCAGAAATGCTGAAGTCAACCCGTGGGCCTATGTCATGAGCACATGCCTTCTCACTATTTTTGAGTGCATAGCCATGCTAACAAAAATATGCTGAGCTTGACATGCAAATGTACACTCACCCACAGGCATGCAGATGGACATGCCTGCATACAAGAGACTCTCAGACATAAACACCCACCCATAAGCAGATCAAACTTGCACAGTAGGATAGCTCATGGGCTCAGAAAACATGTTCATAGGCTGAGTTACATACACAACAAACTGTGTCTCCATCAACAACCATTCATGATAAAAATACATACAAAATACAAATGCTTGCATACACACTCTCTTCCCCTCCCCAATGGATTCATGTCTGTACACTCTTCCATGGATTTGTAGCCCATACACAGGCATTTAAACACATTCAGGAATATGTACTACAACCAGTGGAGTGCACACACACAGACCCACCCATGCACACTCACATATATCTTAACGAAGGTTTTGGTCTGGGAAATTCCTTTTCAGGAAACAAAAATAATAGTCAAAAGGAAAAAAGAGAGCATGGGCAACTGCACAGAGATGGAAGCGTGTACCTACAGGCAGGCTGTGGAACCTGTCAGTCAGGGTTCCCACCACAGCTACCGCTATCACAGCTCAGCACCTGCTGGGTATGCCTCCCCGGAATACAAGTGTCAGGTGAACCCCACAGGGATTTCAGGCTTACATGTCTACGGCCACGTGTCAAACTAACCTGTGCCAGGTGTCACCATCCTCCCTAGCTGACCACAATGAAAACTGTCCCGTACCTCCAAGAGCAACACCTTCCACAGCCCTACCACAAACGTTCTTTAGCTTCTAAGGAGTTGGGCAGAAACATCTTACCTGCACCTGACCAGGCTAAACGTCTCCAATTGGTTGAGTTTATTAGCATTTTGGTTTTCTTTTCTTTTTTTTTTTTTTCTTTCTTTCTTTCTTTTTCTTTCTTTCTTTCTTTCTTTCTTTCTTTCTTTTTCAAGACTCCAGGTCTCTTGGAACAAGACAAGACAGTGTACAGGAACACAACGCACGGTTTGCTCAAACCCACAAACAGCAAGAAAGCAACAAGCTCCTGAGGAGAAGGGGGAAAATGTATCTGACAAACTGCCTCACACTGCTTAGGAAGGTGACAACTGTCCATCCAAGATGGGCTGCTACTTGCAAAGCCCATTTGCTACAGATGTAACATATCAAGTGCTGCTAGTGGGAACGTAATCTGACAGGACAAACCAACATACAAAACATTCTCTTATTCAATAAGGGTTATAAGTGCAAAGGGATTTCAGAACATTTCAGAACAAACTCCATCCATAGCTGCTGCTTATTTATCAGTGCATCAAAAGATTGTGCAAGTTTTTAGTAACAAACATTAGAAACTAGTAGCAAAGGATTTGCCTACGTAAAAAGAGAAGATTTAAACATGCCAGGTAACAAAAAGTCATGTGCAGAAATCTGTAAAAACTGTATAGAAGGAAAGGATTCTTTAGAGGAAACAAAGGGACCATCACTCAATGCTCCTCATAACCCTTACTGAAAGTGTCAGGGTGGCTCCTGCTGCCTCTTCAATTAAGACAGGTGACTGTTGTTTGGACAGAGGCACACCCTCATTTTTCATAGACTTTTACAATCAAAATCTGGATTCTGGGCCTTGGCTGACAGGAACTTGAATTTAGACAGGGAATGGAAAAAAGAGGGAGCCTTCTCAGTGGTAATTAAGCACACCAGTATGGATCGCCCTGGAGACTGAATATTAGAACATCGCACAATTAGCAGCAGCGTGACCTTCTCAACAACATGCTGAGAATGAATGTGATTTATCCTGCTTAAATTTAGTATCTGAGAGCTGGGTGTCTAGACAAACTTAAGAAACCTAGACACTCACCAGTCACTGGATGGGCACCTCCAGAGAGCAATTCATTTCCCCTGTCATAGGTGGAGGCACCCGTTGGCCTGGGGAGCTGTGCATTTCCCTCCGCTAACAGCACGAGGAGACCCGGGTGACTATCTGTCTTTGTCTCAGATGACTAAAGTGAAAAGAACATCAATGTGTCTTAACCTATGATATAATTACTGTGAATTTCTTCAAAAGGACCCAATAGATCTTCCCTCCAGTACAGGCTTTCTGACTATGCTAGACCTCTGTTTATTTATCAAAACACAAGGATTTCCCCTCTTCTGCTTGGAAGACTTTTGTATGGATTTAAATACATAAGTCAGGAAAGTTTTGTTGATTTCTAGTATAATTAGTCTGCATTTAATGGTATTTATTTCCCCAATTATCATTTACAGTTCTGCATCTGTGGATGAGAACTGAACTTTTCCACAATCTGAAGGCTATTGTTAGGTTCCCCATTCAGTTCTCTGGTGACAGGTGTGGCATAAAAAAGGCCTTAATTTCATTCTCTAAAACTAACAGCTTCAACCTGCTGATCATTGTAACTTCCCTCTACAAAGTCAGACCAATCTTAATGTCCCTCTAATAAAAGGGTAAATAAAATTGTTTGCAACATTCTGGTGGAAATGTTATAAACAATTTTTTGTGTCCAGAAGGTAGGACGTTTAAGAGATGTAAACCAAAAGTTTGTTTTCAGTTTAAAACTATATTCCATTCTGTCAAAAGATAAGGAAAATAGACTATTGTCAAATAAAATATTTAATTTATTCTTAATCAAAATATTACAACTTGGATGAATACCCCTCTTCCAGAATTTTTTAAAAATGAAGTTGAACAGAAATTATATTAGAACCACAATATGAAAACATTTTGTTTGGAAGGTTCCAAGTAAGGCATTTTTAGTTTTTCAAAAGGTCACCTACATTTTTCCATTCTTCCCAAAACACAGCACTGAGTGAAAAATATGCTATCACTTTCCTGCTTGCGATGATTTGCCTTTACGGTACAGAACAATTCCAATCTTTCTATTTCCCTGGCCTTGCTAAGCTGGATTTTGGAGTGCAATTTTTGTCTATGCTCATAAACCCACTAGATTCTTTGCAGTTTTTCATATGGGAATCTGTGTTTACTGCCTACCCTTTGTCTATCCTGTAATTCTACATCCATCCACCTCCCAAAAAAGACAGAGGAAAAAGTTTGCCTGATGTGCTTTATTCCTTGAACACCAGCTGCTCATTTCAGTCTCCATGGCTCTTTCAGTCCTTCCCATGTCTGCTGAGATGGGCACCAGTGGGGCCAATCAATGTGAATTGTGCTGGTAGAATTTGTGAGATGGAGTGAACTGGGTGGGAAACCCAAAAAAAAAGGGTTGAAGCTGTGGCACTTTGTTTTTCTTTGGGCTTTCTGTTTTGTTTTTATTTCACCTACCTTTTTTCAGATTAGTAACTGAACACCAGGAGCAGGTTCCTCTAAACAGAGATGATGTGGGTTTTATTTCTTTTGGAGGAAGCCTGGGTGAGGAGGTACAAGGAGAATTCCTGGTTTGGTTCCCGCAGTTCCACCTCGAAAGAACTGACCTTTAGCTCTCAGTGGGGTGGAGAGTATTGAACTGCCATGGGAAGCAAAGCATAACACTGGGTAGACCAAAGTGCTGGCCTGGGACTATTCTAGCAGCTTCCCATGGCACAAATAGCTTTTTCACTTACGCTCCACGTTTCCCATCACTTTTCCTGCTATACAGTTTAATTCATGCCAGGCAGATTATGAAGGGGAGAAAATGATGCAAAAGTAAAAAAGTCTTTTAATGTCATTCCAAAAATTAAAACAGAATAAGAAAAGAGAACAAAAACAACAAAAAAGAGAGAGTTTCAAAACTAAACAAAAAGCTCTGAAAACAGACTTAAAATAAAAGAGGAAGGGAGAGGGGAAAAAAAAAAAAAATTAAAAGAACCCGGGAAAGACAAATGAATGTTAGAGCAGGCACGATCATGGACAGACGCCAGCTACTTACGTTCACCTCGGTGATTGCTATATCAACAATGCTACCCACAACAATCAAGGCGTCAAATGTATTCCATGCATCACAGAAATAGTGCTGCATGTGGCAGAGAAGCCAAGGAAAAAGAGAGAGAGAAAGGCAGAGAGAGAAAGAATGAGAGAGAGAGGAGGGTGAGAGAGAGGGAAAGGGAGAAAAGAGGGAAACAAAGTAAAAAGTAAAAAAAAAATAAAATAAAAAACCAAAATAAAACAAAAGCATGAAAGAGGGAGAGAAGAGGAAAAAAAAATAAGAAAAGAAAGAGGTTACGTGGGCATATTAAATAGTCTCTTACCACTCTACAGTATTGGTTGCTCAAACCTCTGTAACGTTTCACATGATGGAGGGTATCAACAAAAGCCTGGTTAGTCAGGAAGTTACACTCAAGCATGTCTACCTTTTGGAGGGAAAAAAAGCACACACACCCCAAACTCTGTGCGCTTTCACCAGTCACAGCCTTGGGGCGAGCTATGACAAGTGAAAAAGAAGGAGGTATTTTCCCCCCCCTCCTTTTTTGTTTTTTCCCTGGGAGAAGGAGAAGGACGACGGCAAGTTCAATAAAAGCATGACTAGAGGGAAAAAAAAAACAGAAAAAAAAAAAGAGAGAAAGAAAGAGAGAAAGAGAGAAGGAACAGCAGAGGAGGAGGAGGTGGTGGTATCCTGGGGAGGGTAGAGTAATACTCACATTAGTTTCACTGAGAATGACGTCTATAATGCTGCCAATTACGATGAGGAAGTCAAAAACATTCCAAGGATCACTAAAGTAACCCTACATAAGGAAGGGGCAGGCAGGATGGGGATTAAAAAGGAATGTTAGACAGACAAAAACAGTTCAAAATTACCATTAGAATTACTGCCCTGACACCTGAAGGGGTTCTCCTCTTAAGCCTACTTGTGTCTCAAGCTGTATAGTCCAGTCCTGGGATCCCTGGCTTGTGTGAGCAGCCCCTGTCCAGCTAATGTGATCCCAGGGCAGCCACCCCTCTCCTCTGATTTTGGGATGGGGGGCAAAGGGAAGACATACAGATGGCTTTGAGCATGGTTGCTCACAGGAGTAGGGCTTGCAGGACCAGCTCCTCCAAACTTCTCCGATTCCTAGCAACACAGCACCCTCCAGCATTTGGCTTAGGTTTGCCTGGGGGAAGAGTACAGGAGTGGTGTCACACAGTTCTCTCCAAGAAGAGCTCTTGCTTTGCCAGTGAGTATCAATCCACCAGTCCACGCTGCAGGTTAAAGCTCTGTGCTGGTGCTGGGAACAGCTGGCTGCTGCGTCACGATGGAGCAGAGGGCACAGTCGAGCTCGGCATGTGCTGTTTACACCTCACTAGTTGTCACCTTTATCTTTACCCAGCCACAATGAGTATTGCAGCAGTCAGTAGCCTAACAGTTTCTATTACTAATGCTTTAGCTCCTATGTGAAAACTGCAGAGCAGGATTGGTATTTCTGTTACTCTGAAAGAATGTCTGCACCACAAAACGAAGGTGTGGACGTAGCAGCACGTGCTGGTGCATCCCACCAAGAAAGGCTAAGAATTGGAGCAAAGTCAGCCTCAGCATGTGCTCAGAGTGAGACCTGTTGCTCGCTCATGCTAAAGACAGTGCCACATTATCACTGTCACGTTTGCTGTCTAGGACAAGCTATGACAGATCAGCTGGTGTGTGCTAAACTCATACCTTAACTTTGCTGTGCAGAATCACTTTGGGGGCTACCTCAAATGTCTCACTGTCCTAAGCAGACATGAGATTAACATCATGAGATGTTAATCAGCACTGCTTACTGTCCCCATCCTGCATGGCTTTTGGTGGGACAGGCTGTAAGGACCCTTTTGGAACAGGATCTGTTTAGCCCAGTTAAAGAGCTTCTGCATCTGAACTTTCTGTAGAAGTCAATGTCATGAGCAAAGAAAATTTATTGTGTCTCCCGAACACCTGTGCCAACCTCTTCCCCTTGTTCTGCAGTCTTAAAAGGAGGTGAACAGACAAAATCCTCCATGCTCCTTTTATGTGTTTGGTTTTGTGAGCTTAGGCTAATCTGACCTCCCCGTTTCCCAGCTGCAGCATGTCTCCAGTGAGACTGAACCCAAGTTGCACTGCAACTACTATTCTTAGCCAGAGAGTCAGGTCATGGGTAAAGTGTGTGAGTCTGTGTTCCCAGGCAGTGTTGCAGAAAGCAAAAAAGGAGGAAAAAAAATTAATAATTCCAGCACTGGCACTGAATAACCCAGGCCTGGGAACCTGAAATTACTGTGGGTTCAGCCATCACATTGAGCAGGCAGTGGCAAAAAGTGTCTTTCTAAACACTGAAACACTGCCTCTAGGATGCTTTGACACTCACAGTTATAAACTGCATTATGCTTGGGGAAAAGGGAAAAAAAAAAAAAAAAAGAAGCCGGGAAAGCCACTGCCCAGCTCATTCCTCACCAGCAAAGAGAGCTGGTAAAGTGGACTCTGAAATTTTCTCCCTAAACCCAGAAAAAAAAACGCTTTATCCTGCAGACTGAATTAGGCAACTCTTAGCAGATCTGCCCTGGAAGGAGTAATCACCTCACGGCCACACTTTACTACGCAATTAACTACAAGTAGGAAGGAAACAGGAGCAAAAGCAAACTCAGAGAATAGCATTATTCAGCGTCCAGCCTAGGAAATACACAACAAATATTAGAATGAATTCAGCAGTGATGTCCAGCACCGTTAGCAACCAGATGGACCTGGAATAAAACTGTAATTAAACGTTATCAAGAGGTAGGGGAGGGAGAGAACAGCAGATTAAATTGTAGAGCAAAATGCATTTTGAATAAATAAAGGACAGATACAGATCATACAGAGTTGCAAAAAGGGCATTTGCAGCCTGATGCAACCGTGACAGACAGTATGCTTGCAGGATCAAAGAGAACAGACTAGAAGACAACAGACCCAATCCTCCTGCCCCTGTTCATGTGCAGAGCCCTGCTGAAGGCAATGGCACTGCTCACATGCCAAATGAATATGTGCATTCAATAGCATGGCTACCATCCATTTCCTTCTCAAATTGCACAGTTTAGGAATTATTAAGGATTTCAGGAGGAACCCAAACAACTCAAAAAAACCCCAGTCTGCTTATGGGCAGCTGCAAGGATGAAGATCCAAACCATGTTGTCCAGGTTTTACCCATGAAAATGATGATGATCTATTTTTAAATATGTGGTGGTTATTTTTTTTGCTATGATTGGCATCATACTGCAGAGAATGTGTTTGGTGTAACCAAATTCACAATTTCTTTTTATGAGCAACTTCTTACATACAGCCCAACAGCCACTGCTGCTGGTAAAACAGCATTTGCTATTGGTGCAAAACTCAGGTGACAAGTAGCATCAAATCCTGTCCTCAGATGACCACTGAAGCCAGTGCATTAAATTTTGCTCCCATTTGCAGTAATGAAACTTCACTGGAAGCAGTGGCACTGCACTGACACAGTTGGCACATCACAGGAGAGATTCAGGCCTGGAAAGAAAAGATCCATTTTTTATTGCCATCAAAGACAGCTGCTTTGGACCCTTGTGACATCATATCTGGAGTCATTCTGCTAACTTTGGTGGTGATGCTCCAGAATTACACTGCAAGCAGTTTCTCCCAGGAGGCTTTGGTGATTCTCATCAGCCAGCTCCTTGCTTGAAATTCATGGGCTGGGCTTCTGTGGGTTCACAGAAAGAGCATTACTGTGGCCTGTTATTGTGTGTCTGTGAGGTGGACTCAGGGAGCTCTTCTCTTCCTCCTGCACCCTTAGGTGAGTGATACAGAAGAACCATGGGTATCAATGCAGTTTTACTCAACCCCACATCCAATATGCCAGTGTGGAATTAAGGAAACACATGAATTTTAAAACCTTCCTTTCCTCCTCATCTGTTGCCTCTGTGTTTCAAACAGAAAGGTGAAAAATAGGAAGATATTATTCACAGTAAGAAAGCTCAAAGAAAACAGAGAACATAGACACTTCATTTGTGTGCAGGGTAATGGAATCCTTCCTTAAAAAGCCACCCTCCTTAGAGACATTTACCTATGAATGGCCATGTAGTTACATAGCTTTGGGTCAGACTTCATAATCTTGTTGGGAGTTATGAGTACATATCGAGAGTGAACCCTTTGAGACATGTGTCTTGTGACCTCAGAGTATCTCTTCAAGCCACATTCCTCTCTGGAGTGTGCCAGGGTGGCTAACGAAAGACAAGCTGAATGAAGGAAGAGCTTTCATTCTAATAAAGAGGTTGTATTTTCAAACTATTTTTCCCACCAGAAAGTTCTGTATACTTTTCCCAGGGGGGTGGAGGTCTGACTGGAAATGAATTGATGGCACTGTTTGTTTTTGCAGTACAGGAATTTAGAGTGTAATACCATATCTTACCCTTAAAGGGAGGCGCTTAACCCTGACTTAGCTCTAGAATTGCATGCCACATAATGGCATCCTCAGGGGCCAACTAGGGAATGGTAGTCACCCGCTCTTGTGGGATGTCTTTGGAGACTTGTGAAGCTTTTAGGGAGAAAGGAGGACAGAAGAAGACCAGGAGGATTGGACTGAATAGGAAGCAAGAAATAGTCCCACCATTAGAGCATATTTTTTTGCCCTTTTTTTTTTCTTTTAATTTCCCCACAGGTAGCAAAAGATAGTGTATCATCACATGATCAATAAGTTAACAAAAGACTGAGCATAAATATGCAGTAGCTGACTGGAATGGAATCTCATTTATGCAAGGGGAGCAGACATTGTAGCATTTCAGAACGAGTATGCCAATCATTTTTAGGTTTCCTAGTTGCTGAGATTAGCTATCAAAGAAGCTAGGGTTCGTTTTGGTCCTCTTGGAGCCACTGAAACCTCTGGAGATCATTTCTTTTACTTTTTGTGAACATGAGTTCCTAAATGCAGTATCATCTAAGAAGCCTTATTAGCAGCAAGGAAAATTGCCCACTGGAGTCTGTCTGAAGGTCTGAGCTCAGAGTCACCTTAATAAGAAAGTGTGGTGGCTGGAGAGCTATGCATCTACACTGAACCAGAGAAATCCTCAGGGGAAGGGCGCAGCTGAGTCATGGTACCAGCTGGGTCTTGAGCATCCAGCCCTGTGGGAGCTGCACGGTCACTTGTGTGTTAATTGATGTGCAGTTATTTATCTGCTTAGTCCCAGGTTTTCATTTCCATCTTTTATGAGGTGGATGGCAAAACTTAACAAACCCCTCTGAGAGAAAAATCTCTAAAGATGAAGAGCACAGCAAAGGTCAAGAATATTCACTGGGTGGAATCTGAATGGTCCCAATGGAAGAAGACTCTGCAATATCATAAGAAAAAGGGAATGCCATGTATATGAGCATGGGTGTATTTATGTATGTATGAATACAGAAAAGAAGCACTGAGGAGAAGCTAAGACATATAGATAACTACACAGCATAAGAGGAAAGCAAACTACAAGAGAATCTTGCTACCACTTATGGGAAATAAACCTCCATGTTAAAACAATAACAAGAAGAATCAGTCTTAATCATCTGGAAAGAGTATATAGGAAGGAGAGAAAGGGGCTGATAACCTGATATTCAGTGTGATTTCTTAGCAAAAATTTCGTGCTGATTGTAAGGGGCACCAAAGCAGACTTTGCTAGGGATCTGCAAAATGAGAGGAACTGCTAGTTTGGTTGATGGTTGTTTAGTATGTGAATTCACCTCTGAAAATGCTGCAGGCTATTTGGAGCTTTGAGAGTCAGTTCTCAGACTTCATTAAAGGAGGCTTTCCCTGAAAGTGTTTTTGCC